GTGTGTGTGTGTGTGTGTGTGTGTGTGTGTGTGTGTGTATTAACATTTCTTCATCTCGTCTCGCAGGTGAATCGTGAACTAAAGAAACTGCTGGTGGCGTCTGTGGGCGATGACCTGGAGTACCAGTTTGAGCGTTCGTCACGGGAGAGAAATCAGCTGATTTTGGAGAACGAGGCTCTGGGCCGAAGCCTGGCCCACACCGCAGAGCAGCTGGAGCGAATGAGTATCCAGTGTGACGTCTGGAGGAGCAAGTTTCTGGCCAGCAGGTGAAAAGATACAGCGCCGTATGAGGGTTAAAATTAAGACTATTGCGTCACCAGCAGTTGCTACATCCTTGTAGCAGGAAGCTATATCTATTCCTGACAGCTATTGATCTGATTAATGATAGGCCGGCCCCGCTAACTGAGAGGCTAGTGACTAGCATGCCATGGTGCATTATGAGATAAAACAGTATATGACATTATAAATATAATTCATTATAGAGAATCTTAATTTAATACCCTGTCAAAAACTGTAAAATGCCCCAAACTAGATAGTTCTAGGTTTTCTCACAATTCAGCTAAAAAGAAAAAACACAGCTGTCGACCAATAGACAAGGGTAAACACAGCTGCTAATTCAGGTGGTAACTAAAGCTGTCTGCTTCACATTAATATGTTTTATGTTTAATATTTATGCTTGACGTCATGTTGGACAGTAAATTCTGTCAGTTCATGTCGCTTATAGGTTTTTTTAATGTCAACCATTTTTGTTGAGAAAGTTTTTAATCCAAAATAATTTGTCTACTAAAGTAGGTGAGCAGCCTAGGCATGCTAGTCACTAGCCTCTCCAATGCTAACACCAACCTATCCATGCTAGTCGCACGCCTCTTCAATGCTAATGCTAGCCCATCAATGCAAATCGCACGCCTCTCCAATGCTAACGCCAACCTACCCATGCTAGTTGCTAGCCTCTCAAATGCTAACGCTAGCCTAGGCATGCTTGTCACACGCCTCTCCAATGCTAATGCTAGCCTAGACATAGGCCTGTCGC